CAGTGTGGGATTATTAAAATTTTTTTGACAAACTGGACAGTCCCAATTTGTGTTAAGTCGAGTATTATCATCAGAATCAAGAACTGAAATATTTTCTTTACACCTTTCCTTGGTTATGTTCGTTATAGGTTGTTCACTCGTTTCTTTACACCGAAGCTCAACATCTTCTACAGATTCATCTCTAAACGGCACATTTTCTTTCACATCTAGATAATTCGCATACCTATTACCTTCATTACCCGATGAATCCATGTATTCTGGTTCGGATGACGTTGATTGATGTTCAATAATTGGCGTTACTGTTGATTTCTTGACTGGCGGGTCCACACTTTCACGTTCTTGCACCGAAAAGAACTTCAGAAGATTGAGTGAAATCAACGAGAGTAATGGAAAAGAAAGCCGGTTTAGTCATTCCGATATGTCACATGCGATAACAACTACGCCTTGCAACATACCCTTTTTACGCCATTCATTGTTTCAACCTCGCTGGAGCGCAATGTAGATAACCGAAGACCCATGAGCCTTAAGTTCAAGGGTAATTCAGCTTCCAATATCTACCGGCCACAAACCCAGTTAAAAACCATCATACAGAATCATTATAAATCGAGGATGTACCTGTTTTCCGAAATAAAATAAATCATCGGCCTTGTGGATATATCGTGGAATCGTTTTCGCACGATTGGTCACACCGTAGGAGATCGACTTGAATTTTAGAGTAACCGTTTTTCCCTATGATTGATATAGAAGTTAATAAAACAATATTTATGGGTATCCTCCATCAATCAAGAACAAACGTGTAAGGTATGCTGTCTGCTGACCGAAAGATCTTCCTTCTTCAGGTCCGCAGAAAGGTGATCGGCTAATTCACGTAATTTAGCGAGTAAATCTTCGGGTCTACTTAACGGAGCAAATGTTCTAAAATAGAGGGATTCAATTCTACAAGTATCACCAATCTCAAAATTGCTGTCATCTGGTGACATTCTGCTCACCTTTCAACACTCATGCTCTTTCGATTATGATCACTAGTTGACATGATATGAAAATACAGTGAGATGTACTGCACCGAAATCCGTTTGCAAGCGGAGTAACGACTTACGATTTCACCACTGTCGATCCGAGTCCAAGAGAAGCTCGAATGAGGAATTGAAAAGAGTTCAATGTGAAAATCTTATAAATATAAACGCGTTTTTGAAATATGTCGCCCAAGGTTTTGATCTCTAATGCATCTAGAATTCTCTCGGTGACACGACCAATTCCTTTGATAATACGAGAAAGTCTTGTTAAGAAAATATATCATTCAGTATTTAGCAGTGCCAAGGTTGTTCGAAATGTAGCTACCGGAAACTTTGCGAGCTGGAAGATTCCTGATGAATTCCATAATGCAGTCAAGGTTGTTCTGAATGCGATATTGACCGTTCGGTTTATTTATGTCGGAGCATACCTATAGGAAGAAGAATAGCATATTTCGGAGAAAGGTTTTTAAAGTCAAAATTCCTATGATCATTAATGTTACTTTGGCCAATAATTTATTAGCTGCGATTCCTGCACTTGCTGTCAATCGAGTTTTACTGAATATCTCATCTCGAATTTGTTGAACCACCTCATCTGGTGATCTGCCTGTTTTCTGTATATATTCGGTAACATCCAAGTATGCTTCATCCAAACTCATTGGAGTGAAGTTAGGATCGTATTGAGCAAACACTTTACGAACTTGCATTGAAACCGTACGATATTTCTCGAAATGTAGTGGTACCAGGATGAGGTTTGGACACAACCTTTTGGCAATAAATCCAGGCATTGCACTGCGCACTCCGAACTAAACACGTGACACACGTTAACAAGCAAATAGAATTGTGAACGAGGAGTGATGTTCGCATGTACCTTGCGAGCTTCGTAATTTGCTGTGCTCAACATTGAAGTGTCACCGACGGCCATAGGTTTACCACGTAAACTAGGATTGTCTCTTTCTTCTACAGACGCGTAAAACGCGTCCATGTCAACATGGACGATGATGTGAGATAAATCCCTGTCACGTTCTAATTCATGTATGATGCGATCTATTTTGACCAGGTCTGAAGATAGATCGTCTTTCTTAAGGAATTCGTATTTCTTCAACATTTTATCAATTTTGACATTTAGGGCTTCATCCTTCCTGGCTTCATTTTCAAAAAATGCAGTCCCCTGAAGAGACAAATATATATGTATATATATGATGAATTACAGTGTGAAGAAATACAATTCTAACGTAGCGAATAATAAACCTGCCTTTGAAACTTCATATATGATTTGGTCAACCTTTTCCCTATCTACACTTTGCAGTCCGGCTTTGTTAGCCGCGAGTCCACCCATTCTCTTACGCAACGAGTAATCGCTCGATTTTCCATCCCCGGTAGTACTCGATGAAGAAGTAGTATCAACAGGCGCATCGTTGTCGGCACTCGTTTTAGCAACGCTGTTGAATTCTTCATCACAAAACATTGAGATTCCATCGCCGCTTTCGGGATAACGATCCATACAACATCCGGTTTCTCCGATATTAAAAATTTGCGAGTCAAAAATGTCAAATTCTTGTATCTCCGGATTGTTGT